ACTTTAACGCCTATGTACCGTTCGCTAAGTATATCAGTCCTTCAAGTGTAGTAAATACACATATTTTCACGATAGATGGAAATATTCGACATTGACCTTTGAACTCGACATTTCACTCCTTGTATGTGCATATAGTTACTTATCACTACGAATACATAACCAAGGTCACGAGTGGGTGGCATTCAAACATTGTAATCGTACACAAAAAATGGATTGAAGAAGAATAAGATTGGGAGGGGATTGAAAATAATAATAATCACGAAACGAAACAATATATATGTATACAGCTTCACCAAATTTTATGCCCCGAAGCTATAAGTACAAAACATTATTATACTTCTGTGTAATCAGATTTTCTACGAAAGTTATTTATCTTTTCGAAACGTGTTCAGATAATATACAAATGTAGTTTATTTCTTTTGTTAAAGGTGTGTCCTATTTGTTTCTAGTGTACAACTTTGGACTATCTTTAAAATGTCCTTGGAAAAAACAACAAAAAACACGTGTGGGTTTTAGAGATAATAAATAATGTGTCTTGTTCAACCTTAAATGCTAATAATAGGCCAGCACTTAACTACAAACTCCTCAGGCCAACTTTCGATGTCCAAAACAACAAAACGTTTAGTGTCTTCTGCTCGGTTATTGACTAATCAATAGTTTACAATTAGATGGCAAGCGCAGATAGCCTTGGTGTACCTTTGCGCGAAATTCAAAACAAACAAACAATTAAATTTAAAATATTGTTACGTCTCCGTTTGTTAATTAACTTTCCGTAACTTCGTTCCGACGAAAGTTAAGCGACACAAGTCCTTACTTAATAAAACTGGTTTATTCTTTCCGAATATAACTTTACCGATACACTCAACTTCAACAATCGCGCTAAACAAACGCTGTAACGTCTCTCGTGCTCTCTCGACTGCAGTTCAATTACTCACTGTCTATACACACATTCCCGCGTCACGTTGTCCCCCTCTTATATATACCAGACTACCCTATCTAGTAAAATACTAGAGC